AGTGGACGAGTAAACAAGGTGTTCGTTTAAGATAAAACATTTACTGCATACAAAGTACACATTTGTCCTTAAACACAAAGACCCATATTATTTTGAACTGAACATACGAACACGTCGGACAATACACTCGACACAGACGACCAAATATGGAAGTATCATATGTTATATTTGGGATTGCACAAGGAAGTGTCTGTTGTTTACAATAACAAATGATATAAACTGCCGGGCAAAAGAAGTAAACACTTGAAAATTGGATTTGTGAAAACGTTACAAACGTTAGTAGGCTGAAAACAGTCGCCAAATAATTTCAAACATAAGGTCCACCGCACAACACATGTATCATATATATCAAGGAATAATCATTTCTTGTACTGAACCACAAAGGAAACGTCGCCTTTCAAACCAGGTGGTGTTTTTATTATGATTGTACATGTTTTTCAATCCAAATTGACAGTTATTACCAACATCAGTGTATTATCAGATGAAAAAGCATATCAGCAAAGGTGGTAAAAGGTTCCGTATGACATTCGTGAAAATGAAAATGCACGTGCATATCGTGACAACCCTACCAATGAAAGCGAGTCCCAAACTCGCCTGAAATCATTTTTGTTTTGGCAGAATCGCCATGCGACGAGTTACGAGAGATCAGAGGAACTACGCCTTGGGCGATTGCAAGTTGGCCAGACTGCACGGAGAGTAGCCTATCATTTTAATAATGTCCATGTTAAGACAATCTACCGACTCTGCAGGAGCGGAATCAGGTCACTAACAGCATCCAAGACCGTCCACGCAGTAGGCGACCTTCAGAAACATCACAACGTCAAGACCATCCGCAGGATCGCTTCCCCAGAGCAACGGAAACAGCACGCCAGACCATTGGGTCTCACAACAGACCCATTAGTGCCGATACAGTACTAGTGCATCGACGTTTGCGCGGAAGAAACTTCTGCTGTCACAGACCATATCGTGGCCCTGTCCTCACCGCTCGTCACCGCCCAAACCGATTGCAATGGGCAACTCAGCGTCGAAATTGGTGTAATATACAATGGAGAACTGCGCCTTTTTCTGATGAAAGCCGACATTGTGTTTCGACAGCCGATGGCAGAGTGAGAGTATGTTTTCCGATGAATGTATTGTTGAAAGAGAATCGTGGGATGGTCCAAGCATCATGGTGTAGGGTGCAATCGGTCTGAACCAGAAAGTTGGCACTGTGGTGTTCCAGAATCTCGATCCAGGATGAGGGAGTGACGTGACAGCTGCTGGCTATATTGACCAAGTCATAAGACCTCACGTTGTACCACATTTTGGACGTCACATAAATCACACCTTCCAGCGAGACAACGCTTGTACCCACACTGCCAGAACAACATTGGACTTCCTAAGACAACATGGCATCTAAACCTACAATGGCGTGCACTCAGTCCTGAATTAAGTCCAATAGAACACCTTTTGGGCGAGATTCAAAGAAGACTGAATGACCTCCAACTAAGGCCGACAACTGTGGCTGGACTCGATCAGGCATTTCGCAGAGTATGGACCCAAGCGCCAACGGCCTTAATCAACCAGCTAATTCATTCCTTGTACAGACGATGTAACGTTTTCATGGATGCCCATGGAGGGAACACTCGATACTGACTTTGGGGTATCTTAATGGTACCATTAAGGGAGGGAGTGGCATTATCTTAATGGTACCATTAAGATAAATATTATGGTGATTTTGTTTGTGTGAACTCGAAATGTGATTCCCGAAAATATGTTAACCATAATTGTCAAGTTTTTGAACTCAATCCTCCGTTTTGATTGTTAATTAAAGTGAATGAAAGTGCGTGCTTTCACAAACCTCTATCGTGCGACGTTTCTTTTGGATTTTTAGCCTCGATCAAAGATGAGCACATGCATTCCTTTGTCCGAAGGTTTATGCTGAGCATGATTATAGGTAGACTTGCACAAGTCTCTAAGGTAATAATTAATAGTTTAAACATATATATATATAGTAATTCTATCACTTAAATAGGCAAGTGAAGGACGCCAGTCTGTTAGAGGGATATATATATATATATTTATATATCCCTCTGGCGTCCTTGACTTGCCTATTTAAGTGATAGAATTACTATACAAGTACATAGGCAAGTCAAGGACGCCAGTCTGTTAGAGTGGCATCCTTGACTGGCCTATTTAAGTGATAGAATTACTATACGCCCGTGGACTTAGTCGTCGGTACAGCCTTGGAGCAAGGCTAGATTATAGGGAACAACCCCCCATCATAACATGTGCGGATATGCACGTACCCATTACAGAGATAGTGAACATATGTTCAGGATTCCCTGTCAAAATGCAGGCTCTTTTCTTTACATATACACCGTCCTGGCCTGGCCTAGCTGGAGCCATGTTAAAGTACCCTTCTTGGTGCGGTTGTGGCGGGATGTGTTATCTAACTTGCTACTTTTGATACGTGATCTTTGAAACAGCAAACACTAACTGCATATCTGATGAAGACTTTATATTGATCAAAGACACAGTGTGCGTCAGGTAGTAAGGTATATGTTTGAAAGACAGGATTGCTATCATTTTCAGCGTCATGCAACACATCCGTTGAAATGCGAGTGGCTAATCACAAATAGCACGCTTTTACAGTTACATGCGTTTAAGTTGTTGGCTGGCCTCGTGTATGTTTAGATACTGTACTAGCCGATGTCTTAAAGAGTTTGGAGTTAAGCAGATTTGCATAATGAATAGCTACATATCGATGTGCACTGAATCGTCACTACAATATGCTGCTTGACACGTGTTTCACATATGTTTTATCCATGTGTTGCAAACAGGAGGACAGGATAATCTCACAAACTGCAGTGTTAACCTACTTGTGTCCAGTTGTATATTATGAAGAAGTAAACTCTCATGGTTTGTTGCACAGATTGGGCGTAACAGATATTTGCCACACATATTTATTTATGGATGAATGGATGATAGGTAGGTAGGTATGTAGGTTTGGATAAGTAGGTATGTAGGTTTGGATAAGTAGGTATGTAGGTTTGGATAAGTAGGTTTGGATAAGAAAGGGCTGATAAGCAATACGTAGGCGTTTCAAGGCATTGCTTACATCATGTCGCTGCATTAAATCTGGTTTGACTCGAACGCTCATGTTCTAAAGCGACTATACGACATACCTGTTGTTGACAGGGCGTAAACAACGATGGGTATATCTGTTATATATCATGGGACCCTCTATTATCGCGGTAGTTAAGGTTGTCGCCATCGGGATTATGAACGGCTACTGACATTTAGCATTTTATATCTATTTTCAGTTGACAGATGTTTAATCTTTATTTCTGTCGCAAATAATGTGGCACATAGTCGCAACTCGTTTACTACCATTGCGGCAATTGCGATTGTCTCGTTTCACCCGGAAAATGAAGCAACTCTCTATTATCGCGGTATTGCTATGTTCTTACTATGGCACGCGGTACAAGCTGATGACACTGTGAAACGTTTACTAAGACAAGTACCGAATCTAAATAGTTTGATCATTAAAACATATTTAGGAATTTCATTCACATTAGTAATATCATCATGTTTTTAACCCAAACATCTGAAACTTCTATTCATTTGGATACAAGGTAACAATAACGTTACAAAATATTGTTTTTCCGCCTTAAAACGTACCAAAAAGGTTCCTGCCGTGTGTAAAGTGAAGTTTCATAATACGTCACCTCCTGTTATATTTTAAGCACGGAAAATATGCAAATGACCTTATAGTTGTTGCAGGATTACTCTTGACGAAGCGACAGCTGTTGTGTGATTTTACATTTGACGGAAAGTAACGCAGCTTTGAACTCATTATATATTTGATGTTGGTCTGCAGGATCATTTATATTTAGGGAGCCAATTACGGTGTTTGCTGAGCACGTCGATAAGGTAGAAGTCAAGCATGTGAGGTAGAGGTCACGCATGTGAGGTAGAAGTCAAGCATGTGAGGTAGACGTCACGCGACATGCATGTGAGGTAGAAATCAAGCATGTGAGGTAGAAGTCACGCATGTGAGGTAGAAGTCACGCATGTAAGGTAGAAGTCACGCGACATGCATGTAAGGTAGAAGTCAAGCATGTGAGGTAGAAGTCAAGCATATGAGGTGACGTAGTAGTCAAGCATGTGAGGTGAGGTAGAAGTCACGCATGTAAGGTAGAAGTCACGCGACATTCATGTGAGGTAGAAGTCAAGCATGTGAGGTAGAGGTCACGCATGTGAGGTAGAAGTCAAGCATGTGAGGTAGACGTCACGCGACATGCATGTGAGGTAGAAATCAAGCATGTGAGGTAGAAGTCACGCATGTGAGGTAGAAGTCACGCATGTAAGGTAGAAGTCACGCGACATGCATGTAAGGTAGAAGTCAAGCATGTGAGGTAGAAGTCAAGCATATGAGGTGACGTAGTAGTCAAGCATGTGAGGTGAGGTAGAAGTCACGCATGTAAGGTAGAAATCACGCGACATTCATGTGAGGTAGAAGTCAAGCATGTGAGGTAGAAGTCACGCATGTGAGGTAGAAGTCAAGCATGTGAGGTAGAAGTCAAGCATGTGAGGTAGAGGTCACGCATGTGAGGTAGAAGTCACGCGTGTAAGGTAGAAGTCACGCGACATGCATGTGAGGTAGAAGTCAAGCATGTGAGGTAGAAGTCAAGCATGTCAGGTGAGGTAGAAGTCAAGTATGTGAGGTAGAAGTCACGCATGTGAGGTAGAAGTCAAGCATGTGAGGTAGAAGTCAAGCATGTAAGGTAGAAGTCAAGCATGTGAGGTAGAAGTCAAGCATGTGAGGTAGAGGTCACGCGACATGCATGTGAGGTAGAAGTCACGTATGTGAGGTAGAGGTCACGTATGTGAGGTAAAAGTCAAGCATGTGAGGAAGAAGTCACGCATGTGAGGTAGAGGTCACATATGTGATGTAGAAGTCACGTATGTGAGGTAGAAGTCAAGCATGTGAGGCGAGGTAGAATTCAAGCATGTGAGGTAGAAGTCACGCATGTGAGGTAGAGGTCACGTATGTGAGGTAGAGGGTCACGCATGTGAGGTAAGGTCACGTATGTGAGGTAGAGGTCACGCATGTGAGGTAAAGGTCACGTATGTGAGGTAGAGGTCACGTATGTGAGGTAGCAGTCATGCATGTGAGGTAGAGGCCACGTATGTGAGGTAGAACTCACGTATGTGAGGTAGAGGTCACGCATGTGAGGTAGCAGTCACGCATGTGAGGTAGAGGTCACGCATGTGTTGTAGAGGTCACGCATGTGAGGTAAGTAGGTATGTAGGTTTGGATAAGTAGGTTTGGATAAGAAAGGGCTGATAAGCAATACGTAGGCGTTTCAAGGCATTGCTTACATCATGTCGCTGCATTAAATCTGGTTTGACTCGAACGCTCATGTTCTAAAGCGACTATACGACATACCTGTTGTTGACAGGGCGTAAACAACGATGGGTATATCTGTTATATATCATGGGACCCTCTATTATCGCGGTAGTTAAGGTTGTCGCCATCGGGATTATGAACGGCTACTGACATTTAGCATTTTATATCTATTTTCAGTTGACAGATGTTTAATCTTTATTTCTGTCGCAAATAATGTGGCACATAGTCGCAATTCGTTTACTACCATTGCGGCAATTGCGATTGTCTCGTTTCACCCGGAAAATGAAGCAACTCTCTATTATCGCGGTATTGCTATGTTCTTACTATGGCACGCGGTACAAGCTGATGACACTGTGAAACGTTTACTAAGACAAAGTACCGAATCTAAATAGTTTGATCATTAAAACATATTTAGGAATTTCATTCACATTAGTAATATCATCATGTTTTAACCCAAACATCTGAAACTTCTATTCATTTGGATACAAGGTAACAATAACGTTACAAAATATTGTTTTTCCGCCTTAAAACGTACCAAAAGGTTCCTGTCATTGTGTAAAGTGAAGTTTCATAATACGTCACCTCCTGTTATATTTTAAGCACGGAAAATATGCAAATGACCTTATAGTTGTTGCAGGATTACTCTTGACGAAGCGACAGCTGTTGTGTGATTTTACATTTGACGGAAAGTAACGCAGCTTTGAACTCATTATATATTTGATGTTGGTCTGCAGGATCATTTATATTTAGGGAGCCAATTACGGTTTTTGCTGAGCACGTCGATAAAGTAGAAGTCAAGCATGTGAGGTAGAGGTCACGCATGTGAGGTAGAAGTCAAGCATGTGAGGTAGACGTCACGCGACATGCATGTGAGGTAGCAGTCAAGCATGTGAGGTAGAGGTCACGCATGTGAGGTAGAAGTCACGCATGTGAGGTAGAGGTCACGTATGTGAGGTAGCAGTCAAGCATGTGAGGTAGAGGTCACGCATGTCAAGTAGCAGCTACGCGTATGAGGTAGACGTTACTCATTGGATGATGCATGAATCATTTACGGTGTTTGTAGAGGCTGTTTAAATGTGGACTGTTCTATTCAGCAAAGTACGAAACTGATTTTCATTGATCATAGATAATTTGCCTTTCACACTAAATGGATAATCACTTTTGGACAATCGAGACTGGTTATTTTGTGGCGTAAATAGAAGAATAGAGGTGAAACATATTTGAATGGATCACTGAATAGACTCGAATGGATAAGTGGTGGCAGAGATGTTCGCGAAAAGTATATGTGTGACATGCATTTAAGATAAGACATTCTTCCTACATTAACACCAGATCTAATGTGACAGGTAAAGTTGAATGTAACTTTAGTGAATGAGTGAGTTTAGTTTTACACCGCACTCAACAATATTCCAGCTATATGGCGGCGGTTTGTAAATAATCGAGTCTGGACCAGACAATCCTGTAATCAACAGCATGAGCATCGATCTACGCATTTGGGAACCGATGACATGTGTCAACCAAGCCAGCGAGCCTGACCACCTGCATATACGAATTGACCACAGTCTGAATGGAATTATAGAGATTCCTTGTGATTACTGTTTTATCTTTATTTGTTGATTATATATTAATGTCATAGTCTATCCTTACAGCACAATAGTATCGATGACTGTTGATCAATTATTTACAGATCGGTTTTGGTGAAATGTACGAATAAACACATTTGGGAAATTTAACCATACCAAAATTTAACTATGTGAAATATCTAACCTAAAATGAGTTGACTTACCATCCAGTGAAGGTAAGAATAGAGGCAGTCTCCTATCCCCTGGTCAGAAACATTTGCCGCATCAAGGATCTGTGTTGTAAAGATGACGTGGATCAGGAGAGGCTTGAACAGGCGTTAAGAATACTATCAATATGAAGTGAATTATAGTTGTCATTTAGACCACACCACCCGTATGTCTAGCCATCAGCCAGTTGTAGAGGTGATAGACATATTCGTGTTGAGATCGTAAGGAGATCGAAACAAAGACCGGAAAAAATGGGTTGTGTGGTCGTCACATTCGTCACCGCTCGCACCACTGCTCAACGAAACTGATTTGTTTTTCATTGAATACAATGTCTGAGTATCTATTTGGATTTTTTAAGGGCATTTGGAAGTAATGAACACGAGTCAAAGTTGTTTTTATATCAACATCTTCATTTGTTAAATGAAGTTTGTTCATACTCCGTAATGATACAGAGTTGATATGGACAGGTAGTTGATAGAAGCCAGAGAAGTTGATAGAAGCCTGATATGTTGATAGAAGCCTGATTCATAGATGGTACGGATAGGGAACACTCAAGGGATATAGTTTACTAAGGCAGCAGTTTACTAACAACACAAGCAATTTCAAAAATGAGTCCCTGACACACAGCAAATGAATGCCCTGGACGCGGTTCATGGCTGTATGGTGTTGGTCCTACCTATACGTGTAGGATGGTGGCGCTTATTGGTGACGGGGCTGGTCTGATTCTGGGTCTGTTGTTTTGGATGGTAGCACTGCATGGTGGTTTTGATAGCTAGGATGAGGGGGTAACCATTCAGGGAGGTGGAGATGGCCTTGAGTTTGGTTTATCTCCTTGTCGAGGTCTGATTGGTGGCATCATCAGAAAACAATGCGACCTAACCTTTCCCCACAGAACACGTCTTAGAAATATTGGGAGATTTTCATATATACATATTGCTCTGTAACGTTTCAAGGTTATTTCTATCTACACCTACAATCATATACACAAAGACAAATGAAGCACAAGCAACAAGATCCCATTATATTACTATTAGCTATTGTTTATGAAAAAATGTATGTGTAATAAAATAATACTGGTTACCATATACTTGATATTGTCTTGACAAATGTTTGGAGTTTATCACAGCTGAAGCTATATTTTTATAATTATTTTCATTTCCAATTCGAACAAACAAATTACAGTTGCGACTCTGAGAAACTGAGATGATGCATTTAAACCTAATACATTTTCTCTGTCAAGTATTTCCTAACTTTATAATGATATTTCAAGTGAAAAGAAAGATTTATCAGTTGATTATACTTAAATTATTATATTTTTCAAGCCGAAAATTTAAATAGTTTCTATGTCGAAGAGATTGTAATGAAGTTAGTTCTATTAAGCTAGTTCTTCATTCATATAAAGTTATCCTTTCTTACTGCTCCAACTTCTAAATGCCTCTCAAAGAAGTTAGTTCTAATTCAACGATTGATACTAATAGACTAAAACAGAAATAGCGTTACCTTTCTTGTCCAAAGTACTTCTGATGTTTCAATGGCAAAATGAAATCCTTCTGGAGAGGAACGAGTCAAATTCGGCCTTTTTATACGCTTGGTGCCGTCAGTGCTGAAAGGATGCTGTATAGAAGGATAACGTGCAACCACAGCACCTCACAGGATCAGTAGTCAGGTCTGATTGCAATGTTCCCTGACACATCAGGACTTTATATCCGTGTACTTGGTCATCCGTGATATTAGAAGCTTGCATCAGTATTGTTTTCACATGACAGGTAATCCAGAGCCATTACGCGCAATTGTAGTACTCGATCAAGTCATCCTCTTGGCTGGCGCATACCCGTGAAGGTCCGGGTTGGAATTGGTCTTCAGCAACCCATTCTTGTCGTAAGACGACTTACGGGATCGGGAGGTCAGGCTCGCTTACTTGATTGACTCATGTTATCGTATCCCAAATGTGTAGATCGATGCTCATGCTGTTGGTCACCGGATTGTCTTGACCAGATTCGATTATTTACAGACCGCCGCCATAGTAGTGTTGGGAATTTGTTAAAATCTCATAATTGATGATTGGTTCAATACCACCGATCAAACATCGAAAATAATTGGTTAGCGTCATTTCTGAAATTTGTTAATGCACACAAAAATAAGGAAAAAAACATGTAGTTATTTTTAAAAAAATTTAAATTTTTTATTTTATTTTATTTTTTTATTTTTTTGGGGGGTTGGGGGCTTGGCAAAATTTCAAATCTTTAAAGGATGACTAGAATGTTAGGAACATAAATTTCTTGGTGTCTTTAAGATAAATTCAATCATGTGCTTATGATATGTAACAGACAAAACCAACCTTGTGAAAAATATTGTTTATGAAAACAAGTGTTCCAGAATTGTTTGTGTTCGATTATGAGAAAGCATAATCGATTGCTCGGGCGTTTTGTCACTGCGACCAATCTTCGATTATTTCAATTAATCACCACAACGCCATACAGGTGGAATATTGCTGGGTGAAGCGTAAACCTAAACTCACTCACTCTTGACGGGCAGGGGTGACCCATTTGGTTAAGGCGCCGCAATTCCCTGTGCAGAGTTGCGTCCTTTGGCATGCTAGACTCTTATGGTAAGTGGTAAACTTCATCACTCCTTCGCGTTTTCCTGTCATATAAAGATGAGGCGTCGTGATATAACTGGAATATTCAGAGTGGCGTGTGCATTACACTCACAGTCCTGTAGGAATTCCCCGTCGGAACTGCGTCCCAGGAACCCAGGTTGTATGAGACGTCTGAATGTACCGGTGTTCAAGGGCGTTGAATTGATTGATGTCGTGCCATCGTATCCCGACGGCATTGAGTGATGCACATGACACCAGTCACTGGATTGTCTGGTCGAGACTCAGACGTCCACGGCTACAGACTGGTCTCATTTACATGGAATATTGATGAGTGTGACGTTAGCAACCCGCAAACATGTCGCCCACGTTCTCGTTCTGAGTCATTACCAATAATACACATGTTTGCCATAATTTGAGAAAGAATACAGTAAAATACAACGTTAAACTGAGGTATTTCGAATCTGAAATGGTAACAGTAATACGAAAATGTATAACTGTTGAACGTCACAACAATTGGTAAATAAACCATGTTTCACAATTCCTATATTCTTTCCTGCAAAGGTTAGGTTGATATTGAGAAACACCATATAGATTATGAGACTGCACTAAGAATTGTTACAAAATCTGTCAAGCTTGAACTGAACATATATAGCTGAAAAATGTCGACAATTTAATTTTGTTTAGCTTTCCGATTATCTTAAAACATGCCCTAAATGTTATTATGAAGTTTCAAGTTTCTGGGTTTCAAGTTTCTTGTCAGTTATCAAAAGAAACTGAAACTACTTCAACTTGTTTTTATTTCATATAAACTACATTTTCATTTGGGAAATGACTTCAAATGAGACATTTCAAGGAGAGAAAAACTATAGTTGGTCGCAATAGACTATCGTTATCGCAATACATGTAGTTGATTCCCCTTCCATAGACACTCCAAGTATCTACTACGAGCAATGTTATATTGTAGTTCATACTCATTTATGTTGAGTACAGTGTTGTCTGATATCACATAAGTACTGATGTGTCATTCTCCCGTGGAGCGTACAAACAGGCTTCAGTGAGAGATTCCACACTCAACCTGTATCTACTATGTATGGATGACCTTGTACCAGTGAAAGTTATGTCAGCATATGGTACACTGATACGACTATTCCCCGGGAACGTAAGTTTCGATGTACGTCACCGTGCTGTATTGATCTGCATTGTCCGATAGTGTTTACATTAAATGTTACGTGATACATAATGATCAGTGTGTTACACATTTACATATATAAATCATGTTTAGTGCTATTGATTCTGACAGGAGTCCTTGCTACTGATGATGGTATTTCTAAGTGTGTCACCTGTATGTGTCATGCGTGTTGAGATAGGACGAGTGGTTAATCTTATAATCAAACTTTTGGAGTTTAGCTGGTGGTTTGTTGTCGAAACATTTCTAACACAAATTTGCAATGCACGCAATACACAATGCAATGCACGCAACGCACGCACTTGCACAGATTGGGTGTATCATATACACCAATGTACATGAACACACATATCTATGGATGGATGGGTAGGTAGGTTGGTGGGTGGGTGTATGGGCGTGTAGGTTAGTAGGTAGATGGGTGGGTGGGCGTGTAGGTAGGTAGGTATGTAGGTAGAGCCTCATATCATG